GCAGTAAGACCAGGGGTAATATGTGAACAAAAGCTTACCAACGTTTGCACAAGTGGGACTGACTCTTTTCTGCCCGACATTTACGAATGTTAACAACAAAGGCATATGGTCTTCCTGTGTCGTATTATCAGAAAATTTACTTTCATGCTGTAACGCTAAAGCTTCATGCTGAAGATGACTTCACTGTTTTGCTCATAGAAAATTTGGAAATTAGCATAAACAAAGTGACTGGAAAGATTCAAAATAATGTAAATGGGGCACAAAACAGCAATTAACGATTACTCCTCTTTCAGTTTGTCATCAGGTTAAAAAAACATGAAAACTACTTCATGATGAGGGTTTTGAGGTCACAAGAAGTTGGATCATTCCATGGGTCGGATGGTCACCATCTCAGATTTTGTTTTTAATATTTTTCCATAAGATCCAATTGTTTGTTATTCTGTAGGATCCAAATTGTTGCGATCTTCCATAAGATCCAGTTTTTGCAATCTTCCATAAGATCCAAATTGTTGCAATTTTCCATAAGATCCAGTTTTTGCAATCTTCCATACGATCCAATTGTTGCGATATTCCAATTGTTGCAATGTTTTTAAGTTCAAAAGAAAACTTAATTAAGAATGTTTTTGTTGTAGAATTGTGAACTTGCACAAAATGTAGGCTTGTAGATATTATGTAAAATTTACTTTAAGTTTTTAAGTAAGATTTACTTAAAAATGCACAAGTTTCAAAAACAACACAATTTTCTGAGGTTTCTACAAGTCTTTTCGAAGTGTATAGCAGTTACAATGTAGAAAATCCATGATGTGGTTGGTAATTTGACTGAAGCATGACAGCAGTGTTTTATTCATCTTACATCCTGCCAAAATGCCTTTGAACAAAAATAACGACTTTGTTAATCTTAAAAATGTATTTTTTATACTTACTATTTTCGCTGTTTTACAAAATGTGAATCAAAATTGATGTTACTTTTTTCTAAGAAATGTTAGCAATTGCAGATTGAAGTCTAGCAGTGATGTATAGTCAATGGGGCTTTGAAAGAGACTTTAAACATGGACACGTCACTTTGCCCATATGCATGCTTACAATGTTGCCAAATTTCTGATTGGTATTCTTAATCCAGCCTAGTGTTTGCATGGTGCTTGTGTTCTTGAGCAAGCCACTTTACTGTGACTTTACACTCTCGAATACCGTGTACTGAGAAACCTAGATCTTAACATAGTGCAACCACACCGCACAAGAAAACAGACTTTTGCTTTGAGTCCAACACATAGACCTCATGCATCACAGGCATCTCAGAGGCTGTTCGTTGTTATTTTAATCTAGTAACAATGAATACACACAAGGTAGACTCATGCCTAGACAAGCAACACCAAACCATTGCCCTCTAACTCCGCCCTAATGCATAAGGTCTATTAGTACTGGTCTGTAACATGTTTCACATCTTGTCATAGGTTTCTTCATAAACTCTTTTCACAGCCTTGCATCCAGGGTGGAGAGAAGCAATTGTAGTAAAGTGTCCTGCTCAAGGACACAAACACCATGTTCCTGGCAGGGGTTCGAACACCGTAACCACAGGACCATGGCATTCTTTAGCCAATCTGCACTTAAAATGTTAAAATTGGTTTATGCTTCAAAATCAGTGGCAATAGTTGATAAGATAGAGGAAACTTCTGGGTTTTTCTTTTTATTTGAATGAAGACATTAATTATACTTGAATCTCATATTTACCTTATTAAAAAAAAAAGGCAAATTTGTCTATAGGTTTTCCCGGCTATTTTAAAATGTTTATCATTCGAATTCACCGTTGCTAATATTCAAATTCGTCAATCAACATCGATTTAGTGCACTTCCAGTGTTTAATTTCGTCTTTTGTCAGACAATTTTAAATTTAGTTCAAACAAATTCAAACAATGAGCACACGTTCGATTTCGTCTCGTCCACGCCAAACCTTGTTATTCAGAATTCAAATTCGTCTAATTGATTTATATCAGACGAATTCGATCTCTGAATGCTGCCATTCGGCAACAGCTTATACGAATTTGATGGGTAATGACGAATATTCTCGACCCAGTGACCAAAGAGGGTGACCAAACTTTGAAATTGAATGGTAAATGACTTAATTGGTTTTGTTAAAAGCGTGTGAAATTTTTCTTGGACGAAATTGAATGTTAAAGTTGGTGAATTTGTGTAAATAATGTTTTAAAATAGCCGGGAAAACCTATATTAAAATACGAATGTCGTACACTCAAGATTTTTTTTATCTTGACCAGTAATTACTCATGTGCTTTCATTTCAGTCTTATTAATTATCAATTATTACTAATTAATAATTAATTGTATCTTTCTAATGAGTTTGTTCTTAAAGAGTTCTTTATTTGATTGCATATTATGTTTTTAATTTGTATTCATAAATAAGCTTGTTTTGTTTTCTGGTTCTGTTTAATTAATCCTGCAATATTTTTTATTCCAAAAAGGTATCTAAATATTTATTAATCCTGAGTGTTTACGTTTTTGTGTTTCCTCATTTAATTTCATTTTGTAACTTTATGTTGCTTGGGTCGAATAAATAATAATAATATTGATTATGTCATAATCTTTGTTTATGTTGATCTTGTGCCTCTGAAGTAGTAATAATTGGAAGTATAATCACATCTATAATTTCCTCTATTTTATTGAAGTTATAGTGTCATCACAGTCGCAAGCAGATCAAGAGGCACATGAAGACCAATACTTGGCACTAGATGGAAAATATAATTTGCCAAAGAACTTTCACTAAATTGTGGAAGGGAATACTTATGTGAAGAAAGACGTCAAAAACCCTTGAGAGAAAAAAGAATATGTAGGCAGCTGGGGGATTCCAGAAGATTCTTATAATTTTTTGGAAAATGTGTTGGCCCAGGAAAGGACCGTAAGGGTCTAAACAAACTTATTCAGTTGATGTAACTGAATAAACTTATTAAATGGTAAAGGCAGCTTTTAGGGGGTCAGTCTTGGGTGATCTTCGTTGCTCCTGTGATCTTTATTCCCAAACTCAGTCAATGGATAGATCGTTGGAAATCGCATGCATTTCTCGATTTCTCCGGGCTGTTTAATACCTGTACGATATTTAATCCAAGTCAAGGGCGTCAATCGCTCCTCGAAAGTGGGATGGAGGGGGGGGGGGGGGGGGGGAGACATACCTTGATCAGAACCAATGCAAGCGCGAAGCCCTTGGGTCCCGCCTTAGCTTAAAGGCTCCGAAAATTTTCCGGTAATCTAGATGCTCTGTTGTGCGATCTGAGGCAATTTCTGACCACTTTAACTTTTTTTTTGCAAAAAAAAATCATCATTTAAACATGCTTTTCGAGTTTGGAATCATTGAATCAGCTGTTCTGAGCTATAGAATCATATGCAGGCTACATACAATTTGTATTCGGGGACGAAAAATGTGGGGAGGGGAGAACGAAGATATCCCCGGCCCCACTTTAAAAAGTGGGGGGGGGGGGGGGACTTGTCCCACAACGTGTCCACACTCTGTCCCACACCGATTGACGCCCATAAAGCTTTTTGATAACAATTCGGTAGGGTACTTTGGGATAAATGCAAATGATACTTTGTACCTAAACAAACAAAAAAGGAAAACATAACATGCATCTCGTTTCGCCCCAAGGGTTCATTGGCGGCCGAGGTATAATCACCGTGAAGCTGACAGTGAGAAAAACAGAGTTTCTGTAGTTGAAACCTTTTTGTTAAAATTCTACGATGAATTAAGAGAACAATATATTTTCGGAATAGTTCTCGTTTGAATTAAAGTTTAAGTGCAATTTGTTTTGGGCGAATTTCCACAAATGTACATTTCAAATCGTGATAAAATGTCTTTTTTCCCCCTGCGAGTTTTGCTATAGTCTATATTTTTCGTGTTTGGTTTTATGATGAGAGTATGGAAACACTTATCGATTTTTTTTACATTTTGAACCCCCTATTTATTGGTGGATGCTAAATTTGGTGATAAGAAAACAAAGCGCAAGGATTCTAGCACTGTCCAATCAGATTGTCTTTCACTGCTTGCACTTGCATTATACCAAAGAAACTCCAACGAGCTTGATTACCTCCAATTAACGCAACCAAAAATAAGCACGACAGCTTTGGGACTTTTCTGTACCTCAAAAGATTAACACTTTTAACGTGTTATTGTTGAATGAACTGTCGCTCCTTTTTAATACCATATATCATCCCGTCCAGCCCCGCCCCGCCCCCTCCCATTGTTGGTTTAGGTGTATGCTATTTTTTGTACAATTATGGCTTACTTTTAAACGAGGTCAATCTATTTCTTTAGCAATAATGTAAATGATTTTGTTTTGTTTGCGGAATGTTTTTGGCTGTTAAGACCCAACTTACACAATACGAATTAAATGTGCCGTCTTCTGCCTTTCTGTTTTCTGAAACTGAAAATATATTTCACCTATTCCTTCCTCCATGGTTGAAATAATGAAAACCTCGATTTATTTAAGGGGGGGGGGGGGTAGGCCTACTCTAGAAAACCTCCTCCACGAGACTAGTATTGATTTTGATTGTTGGCTTGAAGTTTTCCAATTTAGTTCTTAAATTCCAGCCACTCGTGGTTCGGGGGACGAATAAATTGGCGTACGTATTGCTGTTCGTGTGAACCGGTGGCTTTGCAGTGTCTTTGATGGCAATAATTGCCTTGTTTGGATCAAATATCACCCGACGCAAATTCCATCTTGTTTGGATCTAATTTTCTGCTGCTCTGACAAAAGAAAAGCGGATGTCCGCTTTTGGTCTGCCCAGCCATTACAGAAAAACATGACCTGTATCTCTGGTAACAGAAAACCAAAAAGCTAAAAAATTGAACCTTCAAAAACTTTTAAACTGCTGTCTGCTATTTTTGACAGCTAACAGCCTAGCTGAGCATTATGTGACGTTTGCTGCCCTTCGCTCAGTTTTTTTTATTAACAGCGCCCTCTTGCGCCAATGGTGAAAACAAAAATACATACATGACATGTGCTCAATAATATATGCATGAAGTACCCTGAACTTGATGGGACTTTGGAGGTAGGAAACTGCTCTTTCGGACATTCCCGTAAGTATATCTTAAAGAATAATCATTGAATGAAAATCAGATTTTAGTACGGTCCGACTGAACTGACGAATTATCGACCTTTCTACCGATTCTTTTATAAAAAGTAAGAATACCAATGTTGTTTACTTTAGTTAATGTTGATAATCAACAGAACAGGGGGAGTCGAGTGCACGCAGCGCCTGCAGCAATCATGCCAGCAGCATAGCCAGCAAACAAAAAATGATACATGTACACATGTCCATTGTGGTGGTGGTGGTTGGGGGGGGGGGGGGGGATTGGGGGAGGGGGGGAATTGGGGGAGGGGGAGCATGATGCTACATAGACCCGTGAACGTGGCTTGTAAACTACGCCACGTTCTTATGTCATTTCGAACCTGGCGAACGTGTCCCTCTGACTCCCTCCGTTACACACACTGGACGTTATTTTGCCTATGTAATAAGTACTCACATATGAAGCTGTCTTGAATTCTATTTGTACGTCAAAACTTGCATTTGACGAAAATTGAGGAAAATTCTGGCCCCGGTTCATGAAGTCCGTCCGCTACTGCTAGCTGCCATTTTCTCCCAACTGACGCACGCGCATTGCGTTTTATTTTCGTATGATTGACGGCTGTTTACTGTCGCAGCTAAAACAGACATCGTTTTAGACAAGTTTCAAGTCCTTTCCTCTCTCACCGCACCGCACGCGGTCGCACGTGCGCCCGCGTGTGTGTGCACACACGTACTGTACACGAGATGAGCCGAGCAGCCAATCGTCTGCGGGGTTTTTTTTTTCGGGGTTGCGACATGAAACAGCCGTCAATCTGACCAAGCGACTCAGACGCGTCCGGGGTTATTTGTCAGGGTCAGGTTAAAATCTAATTTCTACACGTTCGTATGGGTCTTTACTGATGGGCAAATTTCGTCGAAATTACACAGCCGAAACAATCGGACGGGCAAATTTAGATTTCTAGGTGAGTACTCAACACCCATACGGAATTATGTCTGTCGGATCGATTTCGCCAGGTTCGAAATGAAACAAGAACGTGGCGTTGTATACAACGCCACGTTCACGGGTCTAGATGCTACATAGCTAGGATGATCCTAGCCCCAAATGTGGCCTATTTACTGGACTGCCTCCGTAAACATAGGCCACACATCCACATGTACAAAAATCGTGTCGACGGAGCCAAATTTTGATTTTCACATTTAGGCTTAGTTTGTAGGTTTTTTTTGCTTTAGAAGCATACTCACCCTCTTTATAGGCTAATCAGAAAGTGCTGCCTTTTTCAGATGTCTAATTTTTGTGAAATTTCATGTTGAAATTTGGATACGCAAACGTGTAAAAATGAATCTGGAAATTTCACGAAAAATATACATCTGAAAAAGGCAGCACTTTCTGATTAGCCTATAAAGAGGGTGAGTATGCTTCTAAAGCAAAAAAAACCTACAAACTAAGCCTAAATGTGAAAATCAAAATTTGGCTCCTTCGACACGATTTTTGTACATGTGGATGTGTGGCCTATATATGTTTACGGAGGCAGTCCAGTAAATAGGCCACATTTATGGGGCTAGGATGATCCTAGCGTTATGTTTTATGCATAACGCTAGGAAACATACAATAGCAAAACTGGCAATATTTTTTTCATATAAGAAAAGATTTATAATATATTAAATACTGAAGTATAACTAATACAGTATGAAGAATAGACCTTTAATGCACCAAATGATGAAAAGATGGATATGAAAATCATGACAACTCACGTTTTTCCAGCTATTTTTTGGAGGTCTGTGTTTGTCAACTCGCACTGAAGCACACTCAAAATGACTGTCGAGTGTAAACACATGTCACAGGTCAATGCAGGTACTTTGCATTAAGTAGCACGCATTGTTTACCAGCGCCAAGCAATGGTCGGGTGCGCTTCCACCGCCACCATTATTTTTGCATGTTTTATGTACTACACCAGACGACTGTTTGATGTCGATAATTAGTCCAGATGTGCATCAGCAATGAAAGGTATGGGAGGCACGCGAGGATTGTAAAGTTAACTTTCAAACAAGCGGGTCAAGAATAACAAACTATTGTTTTGCTCACCTGTAACACCCGATGGTAGAAAAGGAAGACACTATGAGGTATTTCGACTTACCTCGAACTAACACTTTGCTGAAGGTAATAACATAAAATCGAATGAAGTATTAGAATAATATAAAATAATGCATAAATAAAATTATCTTTTATAGCGAATATTAAAGTTGTACATAAAAACGACTGTTTTGTGTAATGATACGTGCTCCTTGGGTAAGGGTGTGTTCAAAGCCCTTACTGTCGTACGGCGCGGATCGGAGCACGTATCATTACTCGAAACAGTCGTTGATAAAGCGCGACTTGTTTTTCTTCGATCGACTATTTTGCTGTTTTTTCCCTAAAATTTTCGCTGTTTGGGAACAATATAAGGGGTCTGATGGAATATCATGAATGTGTAGATCAATCCAGGGTAACTGTCTCTCTCATGTGTATTCTCTTTACCGGTTTTTGGGGGTCTTTCTGTCCTCGCGTGGGTTTGTGACTATGCTACTGTGACGGTGTCACCAAAGTATGGCAAATCGGTGGAGCGTTTGTACCCGTAATTCAACGCTCCACTCAGTAGAGCTAATTTTGCATGCACATGTAGTGCAGATCTGAGTTGAAGCAGCCGGTCAAAACTGATTGAAGTGTCTGGAACAGCGGTACGTTATACGCATGACATCGATAACCATGACGTCGCATGAGCCGGCCAATGATAGTGCAATACGTCATTATGAATATTTATTTTCTTATGAATATTTAGTTTATTTCAATGGATACTTCAAATACGTCCAAAGATTAATCATTGCAACAGCGATCGTGCGCGGCCTAGCGGTTAAGAGTCTCGTGTATCAAGCAAGCGTCCGAGGTTCGAATCTCGATGAAGTAAGTGACTGATTGATAAATAGAATTTAAGGAAAGGAGCGGGTGAGAGTAGAGGAGGGAAAGTGGAGGGAATAACCATAAAAGATGTAACTTTTGGCGCTAGAAAATTAATTGAAAAAAGTGGTGATCGGGTAGCCGAATTTTTCCGTAGACCCTTCAAAACTATGTACGCGATCCTACTTCTACGTAGCCCGGTCCATAAATTAAACGCAGTGGCTATGGCTATCCTCCAAAGCCTCGAGTGCAAAACATTCGAGTGCAAAACTAAGATGCAAACCCGCAACCTCGCGGTGCAACATCCTACCCTCTAGGCCTATCGACTGAGCTGTTGCACTGCTCGCTAAAACGTGGGGAAACAAATAATTTTATACCTGCGTGCATATCAAAAAAGTATCGTAGAGGGCGCTAAACAACGGCTGCTGTAACGAAAGCCACTTCGTAACTTAAACTAATGTGGCCTAGTCCCACTAACTGGGGCGCCAGCTCCATTTTCTTTGCCCCAGTGGAATTTTTGGAGAAATTTGCTGGCTAAACTGTGAGTAAAGTGGGCCTGATTTAGTTTTGCACATTTCAGAGCACTCCAGAGCCCTGTCTGGGCCGAGACCAACAAGAGACCAATATAAAAATGCACTTGCAGTTGTTACCTAACGAAATCCAAATCCCCCAAGAATAACCGCCGTTAATGTTCCATCGTTCTGGCGACCCTTGCACCGGCTGCGCTGACGTACATAATCTGACTACTACGTTGAATTGGCTACGGCTAGCTTTGGCAGAAACCTTGTGCGTTTGCGCATGATCGATTATACGCATAATGGTGACTAGCTGTAGCCACATAATTAGGTCCTCAGCCCAACACCTATTGTTATTGTATGAATTTACTATTATTAATGTTCTCCTCAGCATATTCTTCTCCAGAACTGTCTGTTAAAATGAAAACATATGAACTTCAATTGTCAATACATGAATGCACAACCCACTGAACATGTGCTTTTTTGCAATTACGTCATTATGACGTCATCATGGGTCACGTGAAGTCACTTCAAAAAATAATAAATTTAATCTTTGAAATTCAATATAAAATCAACCGAGAGAGACCGGAACTTGAATTTTGTGGGAATCGACATGAAAATTTATGGTCTTCATTTTATCTTGTGTGCGTAAAATCATGTGACCCTTCCTTCCGGTCGAAACCAGAAGTGCCTAATAATTTGAAAGTGGAAAAAGATATGAACTTGCTTTTAACGATGCTAGTGTCTACCTGGATTGACCTTTCAAAAAAAATGATCGATGACGTCATGAAGTGTTGGAGCGCCCTCTAGCGGCAGGTTAAAAAATGTCCAAAACGCATTTTCAGTTGATGTCTGTGGCAAAATATGGGTAATCGCTTCAAAGTTCATATAAATGATGACCCTAATACAGGCAACACCTGTATGCGAAAAAAAATGATTATATCATCAGACAGGAAGTTACAATTAAAAGATCCTTTTTCTATGAAAATTGCTAAAAAATCAACAGTCGGTGATATAATCAAGTTTTGTGCTTTAAATGACACTTTAATAATAGGTCTAAAACTTCCCAAGGTTTTGTTACAATAAATTAATTACAAGATGCCCTGCAGCCCCCTTGAAATTTGAAGTTGACAACGGCTACGCCTTGAAACGTTCATTGCATGCCATGTACATGTACATGTACATGTACATGTACATTGTACTGTATGGCGTGTGTAAAGCAAATTGGGGATGATTGCGTACGAAAGGGGTTTCCCCCAGTTCCCCAGTCTCTGGTATTACGACTGATGAACCAATGTACTTTAAGCGTTTACCTGTGTTTTGTACACGGTTATAAGACAACTTCTTAACGCAAGCACATATTTGACTTCAGTACAGCAGCACACGTGCGCGCAGATCCTCAACTGACTCTTTTTAACTAACCTCTGTATTATTACTACACGCACTTTTTTTCAAACCTCAACCCTCAACCCTCAACCATCAACATCAACAATGAACAATCAACTTTAACATCAACATCAATATCAACAATCAACGTCAACATCAACAATGGCCCAACACCGT